GGTTGTATGGCAAGAGTAAGTGAGGTGGTATGGCAAGAGTAGTGAGGTGGTATGGCAAGAGTAGTGAGGTGGTATGGCAAGAGTAGTGAGGTGGTATGGCAAGAATAGTGAGGTGGTATAGCAAGAATAGTGAGGTGGTATAGCAAGAATAGTGAGGTGGTATGGCAAGAGTACTGAGGTGGCATGGCAAGAGTAGTGAGGTTTTATGGCAAGAGTAGTGAGGTGGTATGACAAGAATAGTGAGGTGGTATGGCAATAGTGAGGTTGTATGGCAAGAGTAGTGAGGTGGTATGGCAAGAATAGTGAGGTGGTATGGCAAGAGTAGTGAGGTTTTATGACAATAGTGAGGTGGTATGACAAGAATAGTGAGGTGGTATGGCAATAGTGAGGTGGTATGGCAAGAGTAGTGAGGTGGTATGGCAAGAATAGTGAGGTGGTATGGCAAGAGTAGTGAGGTGGTATGGCAAGAGTAGTGAGGTGGTATGGCAAGAATAGTGAGGTGGTATGGCAAGAGTAGTGAGGTGGTATGGCAAGAGTAGTGAGGTGGTATGGCAAGAGTAGTGAGGTGGTATGGCAAGAGTAGTGAGGTGGAATGGCAAGAATAGTGAGGTGGTATGGCAAGAGTAGTGAGGTGGTATGGCAAGAGTAGTGAGGTGGTATGGCAAGAGTAGTGAGGTGGTATGGCAATAGTGAGGTGGTATGGCAAGAATAGTGAGGTGGTATAGCAAGAGTAGTGAGGTGGTATGGCAAGAGTAGTGAGGTGTATGGCAAGAGTAGGGGAGGTGTGTATGGCAAGAGTAGTGAGGTGGTATGGCAATAGTGAGGTGGTATGGCAAGAGTAGTGAGGTGGTATGGCAATAGTGAGGTGGTATGGCAAGAGTAGTGAGGTGGTATGGCAAGAATAGTGAGGTGGTATGGCAAGAATGTGAGGTGGTATGGCAAATAGTGAGGTGGTATGGCAAGAGTAGTAAGGTGGTATGGCAAGAGTAGTGAGGTGGTATGGCAAGAGTAGTGAGGTGGTATGGCAATGAAAGGGGTAGTGTAGGCTCCGGGGTGGTATAATAACTGTGGTATGCAAATCGTAGGTTTGTTACAAATTTGAGTGTAAACTCAAATTTGTGTGGTGGTTCGATAGGGGTGGTTGGCGAGTTTGTTGGTGGAAGTTTAGTGAGTTTGGTGATGATTGTGTGGATGAGTGTGATGTTATGATGTGTGATGTTTGTTGTGAAGTTTGTTGTGGAAAAGGAGTGTAGGAAAGAGGGGTAGCATAGAGGTGATGGCAAGATATGAGTGGTAGACAATAGTGAGGGGTAGGAAAGTATGAGTGGTGGCAGAGAAGGTGGAGGCAAGAGTGTAGGTGGTATGGCAAGTAGTGAGGGAGCAAAGGTGAGTTTCAAGAGTGAGGTGGAAGCAGATATAGGTGGTAGAAAGGTGGGTATGGCAAGGAGGGTGAATGCAAGATAGGAGTGGGGGGGGTTGTAGGGTGTTGGGGGGGGGGTGGGTGGGGGGATGGGGGGGGGGGGGGGGGGGGAGGGGGGGGGGGGTGGGGGGGGGGGGGGGGGGGGGGGGGGGGGGGGTGGGGGTGGGGGTGGGGGGGGGTGGGGAGAGTATGGTGGGGGGAGGGGGGGGGGGGGGGGGGGGTGGGAGGGGGGGGGGGGGGGGGGGTTGGGGGGGGGGGGGGGGGGGGGGGGGGGGGGGGGGGGGAGGGGGGGGGGGGGGTGGGGAGGGGGGGGGGGGGGGGGGGGGTGGGGGGGGGGGGGGGGGGGGGGGGGGGGGGGGGGGGGGGGGGGGGGGGGGGGGGGGGGTGGGTGGGGGGGGGGGGGGGGGGTATGGGGGATGGAGTAGTGGGGTGGTTGGGGGAAAGGGGTGGTTTGGGATTTAGTGGGGGGGTTTTAAAAAGGGTGGAGGTGGTAGGGAAAAGAGTAGTGAGGGGTAGGAAGGGAGTATGGGTTTTATGGCAAAAGTAGGAGGGGTTTGGCAATAGTGAGGGGTATGGCAAGAAGTGAGGTGGTATGGCAATAGTGAGGTTATGGCAAGAAAGTAGGGGGTATGGCAAAAATAGTGAGGTGGTTATGGCAAGTTAGGGGGTGGTATGGCAAGAATAGTGGGTGGTTTATGGCAAAGAGTAAGGGGGTATGGCAAGAGTAGTGGGGTGGTATGGCAAGAGTATGAGGTGGTAGGCAAAGTATGAGGCTCCGTGTGAAACAACTGTGTTGACAAACTCTAGGTTTTGTTACAAATTTGTTGTAAAAACTAAAATTTTTGGTGGGAGTCGAGGGTTTTGTTGCGATGTTTGTTGTGATGTTTATGTGATTTTGTTGTGATGTTTTTTTGGATTTTTTTTGTGATTTTGTGTGAGTTTGTTGTGAAGTTTGTTGGATGTTTTTTTGGATTTTTTGGGGTGATTTTTTTGTGATGTTTTTTGTGATGTTTGGTTGTGATGTTTGTGTGTTTGGGATTTTGTTTTGATGTTTTTGTGTGTTGTTGTGATGTTTGTTGTGATGTTTGTTGTGAGTTTTTGTGTGTTTTTTTGGATGTTTTGTGGATTTTTGTGATGTTTGTTGTGGTTTGTTGTGATTTTGGGTTGATGTTTTTTGTATGTTTTTTGGATGTTTTGTTTGATGTTTGTTTGTGATGTTTTTTTTGTGGATTTTTGTTGTGATGTTTGTTGTCTGTTTGTTGTAATGTTTGTTGTGGTGTTTGTTGTGATGTTTGTGATGTTTGTGTGTTTGTTGTGATGTTTGTGATGTTTGTTGTGATGCTTGTTGTGATGTTTGTGTGATGTTTGTGTGATGTTTGTTGTGATGTTTGTTGTGATGTTTGTGTGATGTTTGTTGTGATGTTTGTGTTGATGTTTGTTGTGATGTTTGTTGTGATGTTTGTTGTGATTGTTTGTGATGTTTGTGATGTTTGTTGTGATGTTTGTTGTGATGTTTGTTGTGATGTTTGTTGTGATGTTTGTGTGATGTTTGTTGTGATGTTTGTTGTGATGTTTGTTGTGATGTTTGTGTGATGTTTGTTGTGATGTTTGTTGTGATGTTTGTGTGATGTTTGTTGTGATGTTTGTGTGATGTTTGTTGTGATGTTTGTTGTGATGTTTGTTGTGATGTTTGTTTGGGACATCAAAGAGAATCACTTTGCTTTATTTTCATCTTGTTAATGTTATACTGCAAAAATCATCACAGTTGAAAAAATCCAGATGATAAAACAGTTAAACCAGATAGTCATCACAGTTAAACCAGAGTCATCGCAATTAAACCAGAGTGTCATCACAATTAAACCAGAGTCATCACAATTAAACCAGAGTGTCGTCACAATTAAACCAGAGTCATCACAATTAAACCAGAGTGTCATCAAAATTAAACCAGAGTCATCACAATTAAACCAGAGTCATCACAATTAAACCAGAGTGTCATCACAATTAAACCAGAGTCATCACAATTAAACCAGAGTCATCACAATTAAACCAGAGTCATCACAATTAAACCAGAGTCATCACAATTAAACCAGAGTCATCACAATTAAACCAGAGTCATCATAATTAAGCCAGAGAGTCATCACAATTAAACCAGAGTCATCACAATTAAACCAGAGTCATCACAATTAAACCAGAGTGTCATCACAATTAAACCAGAGTCATCACAATTAAACCAGAGTCATCACAATTAAACCAGAGTCATCACAATTAAACCAGAGTGTCATCACAATTAAACCAGAGTCATCACAATTAAACCAGAGTGTCATCACAATTAAACCAGAGTCATCACAATTAAACCAGAGTGTCATCACAATTAAACCAGAGTCATCACAATTAAACCAGAGTCATCACAATTAAACCAGAGTCATCACAATTAAACCAGAGTGTCATCACAATTAAACCAGAGTCATCACAATTAAACCAGAGTCATCACAATTAAACCAGAGTCATCACAATTAAACCAGAGTCATCACAATTAAACCAGAGTCATCACAATTAAACCAGAGTCATCACAATTAAACCAGAGTCATCACAATTAAACCAGAGTCATCACAATTAAACCAGAGTCATCATAATTAAGCCAGAGAGTCATCACAATTAAACCAGAGTCATCACAATTAAACCAGAGTCATCACAATTAAACCAGAGTGTCATCACAATTAAACCAGAGTCATCACAATTAAACCAGAGTCATCACAATTAAACCAGAGTCATCACAATTAAACCAGAGTCATCACAATTAAACCAGAATGTCATCACAATTAAACCAGAGTCATCACAATTAAACCAGAGTCATCACAATTAAACTAGAGTCATCACAATTAAACCAGAGTCATCACAATTAAACCAGAGTCATCACAGTTAAACCAGAGTCATCACAATTAAACCAGAGTCATCACAATTAAACCAGAGTCATCACAATTAAACCAGAGTCATCACAATTAAACCAGAGTCATCACAATTAAACCAGAGTCATCACAATTAAACCAGAGTCATCACAATTAAACCAGAGTCATCACAATTAAACCAGAGTCATCACAATTAAACCAGAGTCATCACAATTAAGCCAGAGAGTCATCACAATTAAACCAGAGTCATCACAATTAAACCAGAGTCATCACAATTAAACCAGAGTCATCACAATTAAACCAGAGTCATCACAATTAAGCCAGAGAGTCATCACAATTAAACCAGAATCATCACAATTAAACCAGAGTCATCATAATTAAGCCAGAGAGTCATCACAAGTGTTTTAAACTTTAATATATAGTGTTGTGTGTCTGAGGGGAAACTCAATGAAGAAAATAATGTTTCTATTGACTGTAATATAATAAACATTAATAATAAAAAAAATTATGTCCAGAATAAACATTTTTAGATCATCAAATGTAATTGTTTTTATTAATCGTAAGCACTAATTCCGTATAATATTTTTTTTTAACATATAAGGCTGCTTCCCACCTAGGCTGGGTCACCCAGAAAAGAAGAAACATTTTCTGATTACGGATTTTTTTTTATCCAGACCGTGTGGATGATGCTCGCTGTTCGTTGCTGTGGCTGCGTGGATCCGAGTCCGAGGCTGAGTACGAGCTGGAGGCCATCCATGACAACTTCGAGTTCTCGAGGCAGGAGTCATCCTCGCTGAAAGACATATTTAACCGGAGACAAATCCGTCCTTTCCTGCTGTCACTGGGTCTTATGATGTTTCAGCAGCTGTCAGGCATCAATGCTGTCATCTTCTACACCGTGTCTATCTTCGAGATGTCTGGCTCCTCCATCAGTGGCCATCTGTCCACCATCATTGTAGGCATCGTCAACCTGCTGGCCACCTTCATTGCCAATGCTCTCATTGACAAACTGGGAAGGAAGATATTACTGTACATCTCCAGTGCCCTGATGGTCTTGTCTCTGGTATCTCTTGGAGTTTATTTCTACCTCAAGGTAACTTACCCAACAATAACTTGAAGATTAATATTTCTAACTGGGTGGTTAGAAATATTAATACACTTATACCTAACTTCCTCAATACTGTAAATCAAGATGTGAGCATTTTGAAACTACGTGTTGTAATGCTCATGGGCAGAGGATCATTTTACTGTAACATTTCGCCCAGGTACTTGATAGGTTAAGCTAAGTTAGGTTAGGTTAGGTTATTTACTTGATAAAGTCCAGCCTTGGGCAGAACGTTGAATTAAGAACATCCTCTGCTGCCAGTGTCTTCATTTTTTTAACGAGCTTTGGGGTTATTACTGGTTCAGAAAGACGTATTTTATAAATTCGTTAAAATTCATGAAAATCATAAGTCAGTATTAAACACCTGTTTGGGCCCAATAGCTTTATCAGAAATAACATCTTCAAAATAGCCACTGTGTTATTCAGCCAGCTGTCAAAGCATATAACTTTGCAAAACTTTAACCAGGTCATCCAAAACCAGCACGCCTGTGTGGCCTTACTGAGATCCATAAGCCTGGCATCCCACTATGTCCTGTCACTTTCGGCATAGGGAGCACACCACAGATTAGCCAGTCAGCATGTTAAATATCTCTCAGTATATCTAGGCACTATCAGCCAGGCGCACCTCAAACACTCAGGTGACATTCTCTTCTCTGATTTCCAACCTGAATGTCAAAAACAAAAGAATGGCTTCGTTTGATGTCACAGCCCTCTTTACCAACGTTCCTACTGATGTTGCAATAAATATTCTGAGACAGAAGCTCACCGACAATCACAACATTCCATTACCTTTTCTAGAGATGGCAATGGGTAGACCGCTTATTGCTGTGCTCCCCACTCTCTTCATGAGAGCCTAATAACCTAGAAATTCGGCTCCCTCATTCCCAACACCATTTTTTGGCTAAGATACGTTGACGGTATCTTGGTTTTCTATCCCAGTTGTTTCAGTATCCAGGTTTTCTTTAACAAGATCAGTGCTGTCGAACATCAATAAAGTTTACACTGGAACTCGAGAAAGATGGCAAACTTCCTTTCCTTGCCGTCCTCCTGCGCAGGTCTCCCAATAGTGTCAAACATACCATCAAGGACAATCTTATACAGTTCTATTCGGATCAAGACACCGGCACTAAAAGAGGTGTCCTTATTGGCTTCTTCTTGAGAGTTCTTTGCATCTCCAGCCCTTGTTTTCTTGAAAAAGAATGTATTTACATAACACAATCCTTCACACGTCTTCAGTTTCCCTCTTTCTTCATCTGGGATTGCAGACTCAAGGTACAAACTATCCTCAATGAATTCATAATGCAGCAGTCCTTTTAAGTAGTTCATAGTGCTCCCAAGTGGTAAGGTTGTCAAGAATACTTATTATTTTTATTAAAGATTAGCCGGTATTCTCCCGGCCCGGGCCTTTTCCAAGTGGTGGCCCGGCCTTGGCTCCCTCTTTAGGGAGTGTCTGAGATCTAAGTCTCCCATGGGAGGAGGCACAAGTACCTCCTCATCTTTGGGACCAACTGTCCCCAGGCCTAGCCACAAGCTAGGCCTCTCTGGTCTGCCATCCCCGCCCCAAGGGAGCAAATGGGAATGGCAGTCTTATGAGCTAAAGGCTCGGGCTCAGGCACCTACCCTACCCTAGAAGGGTTAGGCATGGTGTCGATCAAGAATACTTTCCGGGTACTTGCTAGAAGCAACATAAATGTTTCTACCATAAACATATCTGTCAAAGACGTCACTAAGCAATATAGTCCCACACTTCTAACAGCGGGCATCAACACTATCCCCTGTGGATACTGTTCCAAGAAATGTGTAAGGGAAACTGGCAGAAATCTTTTGGTCTGCCTGAACGAACACCAAAACGCCAGCAACGGAGACGACTTAAGGTACGCCTGTGTCCTCCACAGGGACTCCATGAGACATCTGATTAATTGGGATGAGGCACAACTTGTCCTTACCGGAGAAGATCTTAGAGGCCAACAATGTCTGGAAGCCTCGCTAATCGCCGTCACTAACATTTAGAACATAATACTGGAAACTACAAAATTTCAAGAACATAAGCATTCCTGATACTCAGCCAGGCAAAGGAGTCACAGGATCCCATTGTCTATCCGTCCTTATCTCAATATGGCATTCTTTAGGTCAGATGTCACTCACACCTCATTCTCCGCCTATATATACTGTTATTTTAAACTCTGTGTGTTAGAAATGATCAAGGTCCCAGGGCTAAAACGTTTTCTAATAAATATGTCGTAGTATTTGCTCCCGTGTCACTCCAAAACACAATAAGATATGGTTTCTTGCCTTATTATCTGAGCACTAAGTGAGATGACTTTCTTTGTTTTTCTTGGTCTCTATACTCACTAATTATTTGGTTTTATTTATTAGTAATTCTTTTCAAAAGTTCACAATTTGGATTACCCATTGTAAAAACTCAAATTTTCTTCTGGTATAAATGATGGTTCACTGAGACCAAAGGTACCATAAGACTTATCTTCTAATTTTGGGGGGAAATCCATTGTTATTAATGTATAATAAGGAAATATTTGGATAAAAAGTTTATACCTCTAAGTGGGTATATATAGTAACTAGATATATTAAGTATATTAGACTTAATATATATTTTAGTCTTACCATCAGAAAGAAACTTTCAACATTATTCTTACAACTTTATCCTCAAATTTCTTTTCTTTAACTGTTTGTTCATTCTTTTTTAAAATTTAAGATAGACCCCCTACACATTTTTGCTCAAATATTGTATATGGCTATAAATGTGACAGCTGTTGTTTGGGGTATATTGGTGGTTGTTGAGGCAGCTTGCGAGCCAGAATATGCCAGCATAAAGGTGTGTCTCACAGAACTGGTCTTCCTTTGACTCAACGTCTTACTCTGAGATTCGGGAACAATTGTCTTAAATCACCCACTACAGTCCAGTGACTTCAGATTTTTAAATAAATTCTCTAATTCAGTTGATCTTAGATTGTTGGAGTTTTTATATCTACAAAACTGTAAGCTTGAGCTTAATAACAAAGAATAACCAAACGAGCTCTCCACTGATAATGGTCTACCATAATTTACCACAGAAGAAATGTATAGTGAAACCTTATATATAAACAGAACAAGAAAGTCAGAGCTTAATAGCAGACTAAAGTCAGTTCACCTCTTTGTTGTTAATAATTAACCATAGTTTACCAGAAATATATAAGAAATCTGATATAAAAGTTTTAAGCTGTAGTGTGTGTGTGTGTGTGTGTGTGTGTGTGTGTGTGTGTGTGTTGTTGTGTTGTGTGTGTGTGTGTTGTGTTGTGTGTGTTGTTGTGTGTGTGGTGTGTGTTGGTGTGTGTGTGTGTGTGTGTGTGTGTGTGTGTGTGTGTGTGTGGTGTGTGTGTGTGTGTGTGTGTGTGTGTGTGTGTGTGTGTGTGTGTGTGTGTGTGTGTGTGTGTGTGTGTGTGTGTGTGTGTGTGTGTGTGTGTGTGTGTGTGTGTGTGTGTGTGTGTGTGTGGTGTGTGTGTGGTGTGTGTGTGTGTGTGTGTCGTGTGTTGTGTGTGTGTGTGTGTGTGTGTGTGTGTGTGTGTGTGTGTGTGTGTGTGTGTGTGTTGTGTGTGTGTGTGTGTGTGTGTGTTTGTGTTGTGTGTGTGTGTGTGTGTGTGTGTGTGTGTGGTGCGCGGCGTGTGTGTGTGTGTGTGTGTGTGTGTGTGTGTGTGTGTGAGTGTGTGTGTGTGTGTGTGTGTGTGTGTGTGTGTGTGTGGTGTGTGTGTGTGTGTGTGTGTGTGTGTGTGTGTGTGTGTGTGTGTGTGTGTGTGTGTGTGCGGTGTGTGCGTGTGTGTGTGTGTGTGTGTGTGTGTGTGTGTGTGTGTGTGTGCGCGCGCGCACAGACACAGCAAGATACGAAACAGCAAACTCTCCCTCTTTACACTTGAGATAGGGAAGCTGTGATTTCATGTACAGGGCAAGGAGGAACAACATCTTGTAGGAGTGAGGAAGAGCCAGTTGTGAGTGTGGGGGAAGTTCGTGAGGCAGTGGGTAGAGTGAATGGGGGTAAGGCAGCTGGGATTGATGGGATAAAGATAGAAATGTTAAAAGCAGGTGGGGATATAGTTTTGGAGTGGTTAGTGTCTTTTTGTAATAAATGTATGAAAGAGGGTAAGGTACCTAGGGATTGGCAGAGAGCATGCATAGTTCCTTTGTATAAAGGCAAAGGGGACAAAAAGAGAGTGTACAATTTATAGGGGAATAAGTCTGTTGAGTATACCTGGTAAAGTGTGTGGGAGAGTAATTATTGAAAGAATTATGAGTAAGACGGAGAGTAGGATAACAGATGAACAAGGAGGCTTTAGGAAAGGTAGGGGGTGTGTAGACTAAGTGTTTACAGTGAAACATATAAGTGAACAGTATTTAGATAAGGGTAAAGAGGTTTTTGTAACATTTATGGATTTTGAAAAGGCATGTGATAGGGTGGATAGGGGGGCAATGTGGCAGATGTTGCAAATGTATGGTATAGGAGGTAGGTTATTGAAAGCGATGAAAAGATTTTACGAGGATAGTGAGGCTCAGGTTAGAGTATGTAGGAGAGAGGGAGATTATTTCCCAGTGAAAGTAGGCCTTAGACAGGGATATGTGATGTCACCATGGTTGCTCAATATATTTATAGATGGAGTTGTGAGAGAAGAGAATGCTCGGGTGTTAGCAAGAGATGTAGGATTAAAAGATAAAGAATCAAACACAAAGTGGGAGTTGTCACAGTTGCTCTTTGCTGATGACACTGTGCTTTTGGGAGATTCTGAAGAGAAGTTGCAGAGGTTGATGGATGAGTTTGGTAGGGTATGTAAAAGAAGAAAATTAAAAATGAATATAGGAAAGAGTAAGATGATGGGGATAACAAAAAAATTAGGTAATGGAAGATTGGACATCAGATTAGAGGGAAAGAGTATGGAGGAGGTGAATGTGTTCAGATATCTAGGAGTGGACGTGTCAGCAGATGGGTCTATGAAAGATGAGGTGAATCATAGGATTGATGAGGGGGAAAAGCTGAGTGGTGCACTTAGGAGCCTGTGGAGACAAAGAACATTATCCATGAAAGAAAAGAGGGGAATGAATGAGAGTATAGTTATACCAACGCTCTTGTATGGGTGTGAGGCATGGGTGGTGAATGTTACAACAAGAAGAAGGCTGGAGGCAGTGGAGATGTCATGTCTGAGGGCAATGTGTGGTGTGAATATAATGCAGAGAATCCGTAGTTTGGAGATTAGGAGGAGGCGTGGGATTACCAAAACTATCATGCAGAGGCTGAGAAGGTGTTGTTGAGGTGGTTTAGACATGTAGAGAGGATTGAATGAAATAGAATGACTTCGAGAGTATACAGATCTGTAGTGGAGGGAATTGCGGGGTAGGAGGCGGCCTAGGAAATGTTGGAGGGAGGGGGTAAAGGAGGTTTTGTGTGTGAGGGGCTTGGACTTCCAGCAAGCGTGCTTGAGCGTGTTAGACAGGAGCTAATGGAGACAAATGGTTTTTAGGACTTGACGTGCTGTTGGAGTGTATGCAAGGTGATATTTATGAAGGGATTCAGGGAAACTGGCAGGCTGGACTTGAGTCCTGGAGATGGGAGGTACAGTGTCTGTACTCTGAAGGAGGGGTGTTAATGTTGCAGTTTTATAACTGTAGTGTAGACATGCCTCTGGCAAGACAGTGATGGAGTGAATGATAAAAGTTTTTCTTTTTCTGGCCACCCTGCCTTGGTGGGAAACTGCCGATGTATTAATAAAAATAAAAATGTAAAAACGTGATTGTATAATTTATTAATAATTTTTATATGATTTTAACATTAAATAATACGATTTTTTTTCCACAGTCGACAGTTGATGATGAGATGATGGACGAGGCACATGAGCAGTGGGAGACAACAATCAAATCTTTGTCATGGTTGCCACTTGTTAGTTTCATGGTCTATGTGATAGCTTTCTCGCTAGGCTGGGGTCCCATCCCATGGCTCTTCATGGGCGAGGCTCTTCCTGCCAAGATAAGAGGTCCTGCTGCCTCTGTCATAACAGCTTTTAACTGGTCTTGTACCTTTCTCATCACCAAAACCTTCCCGGTAATGGTAGAAGCCATGGGGCCTTCAAATGTATTTTTCATGTTCTCGGGAATTATGATTTTTGGTTCACTATATGTAATCTTCTTCGTGATAGAAACTAAAGGTAAGACTCTTGAAGAAATTGAGGAGGAGCTGTCTGGGAGGAAGGCTCGAGCCAACAGGAAAATCAGTACCGTCTCTGGTCTTCACATGAAGTGATTGTGTTCTCAGGTAATGATGGGATGCACTCAGCCTTCTTTAGACAACTCCTTCACTTTATTGACTAGGGTGAAGGAACTCTGTGAAGTCACAAGATGATATTCCTCAGCAGTGATGGTCTCCTCAGTAGTGATGGGCTCCTCAGTAGTGATGGGCTCCTCAGTAGTGATGGTCTCCTCGTAGTGATGGTCTCCTCAGTATGTATGGTCTCTCAGTAGTGATGGGTCCTCAGTAGTGATGGGCTCCTCAGTAGTGATGGTCTCCTCAGTAGTGATGGTCTCCTCAGTAGTGATGGGCTCCTCAGTAGTGATGGGCTCCTCAGTAGTGATGGGCTCCTCAGTAGTGATGGGCTCCTCAGTAGTGATGGTCTCCTCAGTAGTGATGGTCTCCTCAGTAGTGATGGTCTCCTCAGTAGTGATGGCTCCTCGTAGTGATGGTCTCCTCAGTAGTATGGTCTCCTCAGTAGTGATGGTCTCCTCAGTAGTGATGGGTCCTCAGTAGTGATGGGCTCCTCAGTAGTGATGGTCTCCTCAGTAGTGATGGTCTCCTCAGTAGTGATGGTCTCCTCAGTAGTGATGGTCTCCTCAGTAGTGATGGGCTCCTCAGTAGTGATGGGCTCCTCAGTAGTGATGGTCTCCTCAGTAGTGATGGTCTCCTCAGTAGTGATGGTCTCCTCAGTAGTGATGGTCTCCTCAGTAGTGATGGGCTCCTCAGTAGTGATGGTCTCCTCAGTAGTGATGGGCTCCTCAGTAGTGATGGTCTCCTCAGTAGTGATGGTCTCCTCAGTAGTGATGGGCTCCTCAGTAGTGATGGTCTCCTCAGTAGTGATGGGCTCCTCAGTAGTGATGGTCTCCTCAGTAGTGATGGTCTCCTCAGTAGTGATGGTCTCCTCAGTAGTGATGGGCTCCTCAGTAGTGATGGGCTCCTCAGTAGTGATGGGCTCCTCAGTAGTAATGGTTCATTTGAAGAACATGACTGCTTTTGGCAAATAATATCTTATCATTAAATTTCAGCAGTAGGCGCTAAGTGCATGCTGATAAAAAGTTCTGTATAATTAAAAGAGAAGAACAGTATAACCCATAAAAGGAATAAGTGTTAATGTGGTTGTTTTTATTTTGTTGGGGTTGTTAGGGCCATCGTAGGTCACACCGTACTGAGCCCAGCACCCCAGAGTCTGGGGAACAAATACTGCCCAAGTGTGAGTGGTAATCAGAAAGGGAACAGGAGTTCCCTTTGGAAGGTAAGAGCAGTGTTCTTATAAATACCTGTGTTCCAAACAATGTGTTCTGTCAAAACCGGTGCTCGTTATGAGCACCAGTACCACACCTGAACTACACCCTCTTGACCATCAGTATGGTGATACATTCCTGAGTGAACGGATGATCGTTGAACACAAATTCCATGACAAGATATTAGTATTTTCTTACCTGTTATACAGGTTTCCAGATAAAGTTTTCAGTAAGAAAAGACGTAGAAATTACTCACTTGGAGTGTAGATGTCCTGAGAACCAAAATAAATATCTCTCGTGAGGGTTTACTTTCCTCTGATACATTGATATTTGAAGCTGATTACTGGACATGTGTAAGTGTCTTTAATTGTTTAATGCAACTTAACATGATTTTAAAAAATTAATGGTGCCGCTGCCACCGTAAACCAGTTTATATATGAAAGTTTTCAGTCATTCTACACGAGAAGAATGAGACACTTGTGCAACAAGTGTCTCATTCTTCAACTTGTCGGTTTTCGAAACCATTTATATCATATTGTACACATGCTGCCAGCTAGAGCATTGTACACATGCTGCCAGCTGGAGCATTGTACACATGCTGCCAGCTGGAGCATTGTACACATGCTGCCAGCTGGAGCATTGTACACATGCTGCCAGCTGGAGCATTGTACACATGCTGCCAGTTGGAGCATTGTGTCATGTGGGAATAATGGCCTCCAGGTACTAGTTATGTCTGTGGAGTATTTTGCAGCTAACTCATATGTTACTTAAAACTATGTCAGTAATTATCCATTTATTCATTACCAACTGTGCCCATCATGGGTTAATTAGGACATTCCTTCAAGAGGACGAGCTGACAGTACTCTGCACATGTGACACAGGCATTTGCATACGTAGAATTCGTACTAACTTTGACAAAAGACTAAACTGCAGCTCCGAAAGGGCCCAAGAAAAAAAAATAATGAAGGTATGGAATGACTACTTTCCAAACCAATTGTGCGTAAATAATATATAAGTTTTGGTATGTTTAGCTTCAATATTTTGCAAGTGATCCTACAATGGATTAACAGCGACATACAATGCTTTTGTGAGAACACATAGATATTATGACGAATTAAAGTTTAGACATGAGATATTATCATGTGGAACTTCAATTACTGTAGTGATGTGTGTTTTAATTTTCAGTAATATTATAGTACAGTAGTGATGTAGCAGAAACAACAACACCTGAGATTATGTGGAATAATATATTAATAATAATCTTTCAATAATTGGATAATATACAACCCGCACTTGGGAGAGAGGAGCTGACCACGACGTTAAGGTCCAATTTGGACCATTTACAAAGTCACACTAACACAAAAGAGTAATGGAGCCAAGTGGATATTGTGAACATCAAAATGACAGGAAAATGAGAGTTGAGTTTGAAGAAATTAAAGTAACTGAAGAGATGAAAGAAGAGAAACTTGTGAGGTGATACAATACACAGCTTCAACACTGGGTTAACTTTAGTGACATATATGTTTTAGTATATGAGACAAATCATACATTTACTCTTACATTTGTATACATATTCAGCAAAGTACAGTTTCCTTTATAATGTATAATAGTTTATGTGCATACATAAATAATATATATCGTATATAAATGTATGTGTATTATATATGTACATGAGATCTAGAAACACTGTATTGTATACACTCTGTGTATGTGTATATATGTATGAAGGTATAAATATTCTAGAGATAGAGGGTTTAAAATTTCCTGAAAAACATCAATATGTTCAATTGATGTTATAATATCTTACGAGTTAAGTGATGTCCACTGTACAATGTATATAAACTTTTAAGCTATTAACATTTTTATTAAAACATTGCATAATTATTGTGTTTTTATTTATCCAGCCGACATTTACCACCTCCTGGGGACAGACGAATTTTTTTTAAAAGACTTATAGAATGTTTTAAAAAAAACAGCATTCACAGGCAGGAATAACACTGGGATTCTTGTAGCAGCATTTTCTCCGTCCCTCCCGCCTGATACAATAGTTACTTTCCTCTACAGTCTTTCACCGTGCTTTCCTTCTCCCTTCCTCCTCACCGTACTGCCAAAATTCTAAATATGCAGAAAGAACTTGATATCCCAAGCATCATAGAGTTACTGAAAGAAATGTTCTCACTGGATCAATATTCTCAGGCAAGCCCATTCTAACCCCTGCACACCAGTCCTCCAAACTTTCCTCAGCACTGGTGAACACTCTTCCAGATGGATAAAAAAACTGGAACTGACCTCCGCATGAACCTGATACATGATCTCTGTCAAGTAAGGCAACAACGACACTTTCCCGCTCCGTGAGATATTACCCCATTCCGAACTACTATCCCTCCTTTTTCTCCCCCAAAACTTCTTAAATCACAACTAAAGTTTCGTTTTGAAGCCAAGCAGGATGCCTTAATTAAGCTGTATTGATATCTTAGTCACACAACACTCTTTCACAAATTATTTATGTTGATAAGTTCTGTTCACCAGTCCACTGGTGTAGCTGGTAGTGCTGCTGTTATAATAGAGTGATGGCTCTCATAAAGAAATTGGAGCACGTATCAGTAACAGGGCCTCTATCCTTCCAACAAAACTGTTTGCCATACCCATTGCACTCAAATGCGTCCATGTATCTAAGGTTGATACTTAAATTGTAATTGATTCCTTATCATCCATAAACGCTCTCAACTCCTTAAGTAGTATAAACTGTGCCATGCTTGTGTCAGAAGCCAGACACAGGTATGGTAGGACTGTAGACCGTGGAGTAGGAGAGCACCTTCTGTGGATCCCATCTCACGTTGCTCTTCAGATGCATGATAGAACTGATCAACTGGCTAAGTTATATGCCTTCAGTGAGGAAGCAGATTACAGTCTTGGGATGTCAGTTAGCAGTCTGAGAACAATAATAAGAAAAGAACTTCAGCTGAACTTCACTGACATGAAAATGAAGGAGACCGACACCAGTCAGTCCATCTATCGTCATTCTATCATGCAGGAGGAGCCACATGTCTATGGTGAGTCCAATAAAATAAGCAGACTCTTGGATGTGACTACTGCCCAGCTCCTGCTGGGTTATAAGTATCTTTGGCGTCTGCTGAGCCATGACCCAGGCAGCAGCAACAAGGCTGCTCCTATACCTTTGCCGTCCCCTGGGCACATCCAAGCTCCAGTGATGGCCGTATTGCAAGTACTGCTGCAACAACATACAAGAAACTTATAGTGACAAGAAAACTGACGGTAACGACAATGCAATGAAGCAAATATGACCAATAGAGGACGACCGGCATTCAAAAACCAGACCTGCTACCAAACATGCAACCTGACAAGCGACGTTTTCCAAAACACTGAAATAATTGACCTTCATATCAACTGCACCAGTGTTCAGTGGGAAGAAAACATAGAAGAAAACCTAACAACAAAATTCCATGGAAACTGACAGGTCTGTAGTGACGGTTTTTCCCCTCTGCCGAATGAGGGAAGGAAGTGAACATATCAACATGGCTGACTGGCATTCAAACACCAGCTGTCAGACGTACAACTAGCGAAGTGACGTTCTCAACTATACTGACAGTACCTGACCACCATAACAACTGCACCACCACCATAACAACTGCACCACCATCATAACAACTGCACCACCATCATAACTGCACCACCATCATAGCTGCATCACAATCATAACAACTGCACCACCACCATAACAACTGCACCACCATCATAACAACTGCACCACCACCATAACAACTGCACCACCATCATAACAACTGCACCACCACCATAACAACTGCACCCATCATAACACTGCACCACATAACAACTGCACCACCACCATAACAACTGCACCACCATCATAACAACTGCACCACCATCATAACAACTGCACCACCATCCATAACAACTGCACCACCATCATAACAACTGCACCA